TAGATAAGATGGGACTGTAACTAACTATGAAGTGGAGAGCAAGGCAAGACATAGGAGGCCCGTCTACGACAGAAGAGATAGTGCGTGCGGTGCGTCGTGGTGTAAAGGTGAGCGTGTAACTTACTATGAAGTGGAGAGCAAGGCAAGACATAGGAGGCCCGTCTACGAAAGAAGAGATAGTGCGTGCGGTGCGTCGTGGTGTAAAGGTGAGCGTGTAACTAACTATGAAGTGGACAGCAAGGCAAGACATGGGAGGCCCGTCTACGACAGAAGAGATAGTGCGTGCGGTGCGTCATGGTGTAAAGGTGAGCGTGTAACTAACTATGAAGTGGACAGCAAGGCAAGACATGGGAGGCCCGTCTACGACAGAAGAGATAGTGCGTGCGGTGCGTCGTGGTGTAAAGGTGAGCGTGTAACTAACTATGAAGTGGACAGCAAGGCAAGACATGGGAGGCCCGTCTACGACAGAAGAGATAGTGCGTGCGGTGCGTCATGGTGTATAGGTGAGCGTGTAACTAACTATGAAGTGGAGAGCAAGGCAAGACATAGGAGGCCCGTCTACGACAGAAGAGATAGTGCGTGCGGTGCGTCGTGGTGTAAAGGTGAGCGTGTAACTAACTATGAAGTGGACAGCAAGGCAAGACATGGGAGGCCCGTCTACGACAGAAGAGATAGTGCGTGCGGTGCGTCATGGTGTAAAGGTGAGCGTGTAACTAACTATGAAGTGGAGAGCAAGGCAAGACATAGGAGGCCCGTCTACGACAGAAGAGATAGTGCGTGCGGTGCGTCGAGGTGTAAAGGTGAGCGTGTAACTAACTATGAAGTGGAGAGCAGGCAAGACATAGGAGGCCCGTCTACGACAGAAGAGATAGTGCGTGCGGTGCGTCGAGGTGTAAAGGTGAGCGTGTAACTAACTATGAAGTGGAGAGCAAGGCAAGACATGGGAGGCTGGAGTAGCGCATCGTTGAATGGCGCAGCATGGAGACCTAACAATACTGCAGTCATGGAGTCAGCAATATGGAGCGGAAACCAGCACTTTGAATACGAGGCAGATTTGGATGCGTCTATAGAGGTTGCAACAAACGATGAACTCTTTAAGAAACCACCTGAACCAATACAGTGTATGTCCTGCAAAACAATTCACAAGACGTATTTAAAGGAATATATAACAGACCAAGAAATCTTTTACCATAAATGCTCAGAGTGCCAGCTGAAGGAAGAAGTTATTAACGAAATACTTCTTTCAGATTTTAAATTGGGCATAGCTAGACTCGAGAAAGAGATGCAGGAAACCAAGAAGTGGATGTGGGACGTGCTGTTCAAGGCATGACACAGTAGGTCCCTCTACGACAGAAGAGATAGTGCCTGCGCTGCGTCGTGGAGTAAAAGTGAGGGCGTGACTAACTATAAAGTGCAGTGCCACATTTGCTCGAGGCAGTTCCACACCTACTGCCTCGGCCTCACAACTTATGATTTCCAAATTTTAAGATGCAACGATTGCATGGAAGACGCATCATCGAGTTCTTCGAAACCGAAAGTGCGCGCATTTCCTTAGTCCAGTACTTCAGACCAAGCCTCATCCGTCGATGTGAACGAAAGAAAGACGAACAGCTCGAGTTTTCCCAACATCACCAGATATGACTGCCTTTGAGAAGCTCTAGTATGTGAAGGTGTCGGTACCCAAATATATACGATGGAGTGTAGTATTTGCTCGAAGGAAGTATACATTCGCTGCCTCAATGTCCCTAAACTTAACACAAGATATTTCCGATGCCTTCAATGCAGACCTGAGCGGGGGGAATTTAGATATTTTTGGATTGATGGTAGTTACAAACTTGAATATTGGCCCCCTTTCCGACCGATAGAAATGTACTCATGATAATCTTTTATTTTCTTGAAATCTTGTAATTAAAAATGTTTTGTGAATTAAAAAAAAGTGAAAATAAATTAATATGTTTTTATTATGATTCAGTGTTTATCATATACTTGTAAATATGTAAAAATTTACACACTTAATTATTTTGTTTCTTATATTTATATATTTGTTTTTGTTTAAATCTTTCCATTGAAAACTAATGTTAAACAAAAAAATTTAATTTTATTTTAATATTTGACATTTTGTTTCTTTATAAATTTGTGTTGAATGCAATGTAAAATTATTGGTCTAATTTTATTGAGAATGTACACCAACAGTTGTAAAAAGCATTTCTTTCTTATAAATAAAATTCTATCAAATAAATATTGAGGTGTTCATTTAATTTTATAAACACTGAAAATACTTTCATTTATTGTTTAAGATGTACCTAGAACATCTTTAATGATGAATAACTGACTGATATATGGTACTCATGTTTAGTGGTTGGTAAGTGATACACTGATGGCTGTGATAAAGAACTTATTTTATTATATTGTATGATTAATATGGGATCACTTCTAAGTTATCTGATCACTAGCACATCTCTTTTCCGATAAGTTTTTATGGTTTTCTTAATATCAGTAACAGATTACAGCTGTGGAACCGAAAACAACTAGCGATGCTAAATATTGATCTAATCTCATTCAAAATGTTTATCAAAAATTCTAAAAAAACTTATATTTAAAAGAAAAACTGTCTATAAAATAAGTATTGAGGTCATTTATTATTTTCACGTACCATGAAAAACCTATTATATTTTACATAAACTATGCTGTATATTTTATCTAATTTAAATTCATAGGGACTTCTTATTATTTGCAAATAAGACATATAAAATGATTATTTGAGGTAGTGATTGGTATTTTAATTTATTAAACCAACCTAATACACCTTTCATGTAGAGTAATTGATAGAAACTTATCAATGGTGAAGAAGTGATACCATGATAACTTAGAAAGAGCACATTGGTTTAGTGAGACTTCTTATCTGTAGGTGAGGTCAATATGTTTGAAGAATAGAGTATCATGATATCGTCGGCACCATGTTAGAGTAATTAATATGCAACGTTAAACTGGCTCACATTCAATACTTTAATATAGTGCCAATGATAAGTATTACCTGATCAATCATTAGTTATCTTATTATTGATAATTATTATTGAATGTAATAATTGTGTTTACCTGAAACTGTAGGAAAGAGTGTTTTGAAACAAATTTATTATTTTAATGTGTAATAATATAAATTTTTGTTTATTATTATTCTACTATACCAGAGAGAATATAAGAAATACTCTAATACTCTATATATAGTCTATTTGGTCTTATTAACAATTTTATGTTTTGCACTTACAAGCTTTTGCAGTGTAGCTGCCGATTTATTATTAATAGTAGGTTTGATTTAATATTTTTAGTGCAATTTCTCTATTGGATGTTGATAAATAATTGTATATACTATTAGATTTTCAATTATGTATATTAATTTATAATAAATGTATTGAATATTAAAAATTAATTCACTGATAAGACACCGAAACGTACCGTTATTCTTCTTATGTTAATTAATTAATTAAATATATTAGTCATATGTAAGATTATTTTCAACAAAGAATTTCTGAAAAAAAAAAATTTTAAATGCATATATTTAATAAATATGTTTAAGAATATATATTCCACAAGCCTCAGTGGTATATGTTCATGGGTTAATTAAAGATAGTACTTTTTTTTGTTTTAATTATTTTAATACTACAACTAGAAAACCATTCTTTATAATATTCGGAGGATTGGGGATGTGAAAATATCTGATTGGTCCCTAGAATAAGTGGTAGGGGCTAGAGGGTATTTAAGGCCTCGGGTACGAAAAATCCTCACCATTTAGCCATGGATCCCTCAGGACTATGTTCGAACGATTCTTTTGATCTTCCTTGTTCAGAGTGCTCAAAGTGCCAGCTGAAGGAAGAAGTTATAAACGAAATACTTCTTTCAGATTTTAAATTGGGCATAGCTAGTCGAGAAGGAGATGCAGGAAACCAAGAAGTGGATGTGGGACGTGCTGTGAAGGCAAGAAGTGGTGAGCAAGCCAAAACATAGGAGGTCCCTCTATGACAGAAGAGATAGTGCGTGCGCTCGAGGTGTAAAGGTGAGCGTGTAACTAACTATGAAGTGGAGAGCAAGGCAAGACATAGGAGGCCCGTCTACGACAGAAGAGATAGTGCGTGCGGTGCGTCGAGGTGTAAAGGTGAGCGTGTAACTAACTATGAAGTGGAGAGCAAGGCAAGACATAGGAGGCCCGTCTACGACAGAAGAGATAGTGCGTGCGGTGCGTCGTGGTGTAAAGGTGAGCGTGTAACTAACTATGAAGTGGAGAGCAAGGCAAGACATAGGAGGCCCGTCTACGACAGAAGAGATAGTGCGTGCGGTGCGTCGTGGTGTAAAGGTGAGCGTGTAACTAACTATGAAGTGGACAGCAAGGCAAGACATGGGAGGCCCGTCTACGACAGAAGAGATAGTGCGTGCGGTGCGTCATGGTGTAAAGGTGAGCGTGTAACTAACTATGAAGTGGACAGCAAGGCAAGACATGGGAGGCCCGTCTACGACAGAAGAGATAGTGCGTGCGGTGCGTCGTGGTGTAAAGGTGAGCGTGTAACTAACTATGAAGTGGACAGCAAGGCAAGACATGGGAGGCCCGTCTACGACAGAAGAGATAGTGCGTGCGGTGCGTCGTGGTGTAAAGGTGAGCGTGTAACTAACTATAAGGTGGAGAGCAAGGCAAGACATAGGAGGCCCGTCTACGACAGAAGAGATAGTGCGTGCGGTGCGTCGTGGTGTAAAGGTGAGCGTGTAACTAACTATGAAGTGGAGAGCAAGGCAAGACATAGGAGGCCCGTCTACGACAGAAGAGATAGTGCGTGCGGTGCGTCGAGGTGTAAAGGTGAGCGTGTAACTAACTATGAAGTGGAGAGCAAGGCAAGACATAGGAGGCCCGTCTACGACAGAAGAGATAGTGCGTGCGGTGCGTCGTGGTGTAAAGGTGAGCGTGTAACTAACTATGAAGTGGAGAGCAAGGCAAGACATGGGAGGCCCGTCTACGACAGAAGAGATAGTGCGTGCGGTGCGTCGTGGTGTAAAGGTGAGCGTGTAACTAACTATGAAGTGGAGAGCAAGGCAAGACATGGGAGGCCCGTCTACGACAGAAGAGATAGTGCGTGCGGTGCGTCGTGGTGTAAAGGTGAGCGTGTAACTAACTATGAAGTGGAGAGCAAGGCAAGACATAGGAGGCCAGTCTACGACAGAAGAGATAGTGCGTGCTGTGCGTCGTGGTGTAAAGGTGAGCGTGTAACTAACTATGAAGTAGAGAGCAAGGCAAGACATAGGAGGCCAGTCTACGACAGAAGAGATAGTGCGTGAGGTGCGTCGAGGTGTAAAGGTGAGCGTGTAACTAACTATGAAGTGGACAGCAAGGCAAGACATGGGAGGCCCGTCTACGACAGAAGAGATAGTGCGTGCGGTGCGTCGTGGTGTAAAGGTGAGCGTGTAACTAACTATGAAGTAGAGAGCAAGGCAAGACATAGGAGGCCCGTCTACGACAGAAGAGATAGTGCGTGAGGTGCGTCGAGGTGTAAAGGTGAGCGTGTAACTAACTATGAAGTGGACAGCAAGGCAAGACATGGGAGGCCCGTCTACGACAGAAGAGATAGTGCGTGCGGTGCGTCGTGGTGTAAAGGTGAGCGTGTAACTAACTATGAAGTGGAGAGCAAGGCAAGACATAGGAGGCCCGTCTACGACAGAAGAGATAGTGCGTGCGGTGCGTCGTTGTGTAAAGGTGAGCGTGTAACTAACTATGAAGTGGAGAGCAAGGCAAGACATAGGAGGCCCGTCTACGACAGAAGAGATAGTGCGTGCTGTGCGTCGTGGTGTAAAGGTGAGCGTGTAACTAACTATGAAGTAGAGAGCAAGGCAAGACATAGGAGGCCAGTCTACGATAGGGCCAATGATAAGTATCAAATGATCAATCATCAGTTATCTTATTATTGATAATTATTATTGAATGTAATAATTGTGTTTACCTGAAACTGTAGGAAAGAGTGTTTTGAAACCGAATTCTTTTAATGTGTAATAATATAAATTTTTTTTTATAATTATTCTACTATACCAGAGAGAATATAAGAAATACTCTAATACTCTATATATAGACTATTTGGTCTTATTAACAATTTTATCTTTTGCACTTACAAGCTTTTGCAGTGTAGCTGTCGATTTATTATTAATAGTAGGTTTGATTTAATATTTTTAGTGCAATTTCTCTATTGGATGTTGATAAATAATTGTATATACTATTAGATTTTCAATTATGTATATTAATTTATAATAAATGTATTGAATATTAAAAATTAATTCACTGATAAGACACCGAAACGTACCGTTATTCTTCTTATGTTAATTAATTAATTAAATATATTAGTCATATGTAAGATTATTTTCACCAAAGAATTTCTGAAAAAAAAAATATTTTAAATGCATATATTTAATAAATATGTTTAAGAATATATATTCCACAAGCCTCAGTGGTATATGTTCATGGGTTAATTAAAGACAGTTGTTTTTTTTTGTTTTAATTATTTTAATACTACAACTAGAAAACCATTCTTTATAATATTCGGAGGATTGGGGATGTGAAAATAACTGATTGGTCCCTAGAATAAGTGGTAGGGGCTAGAGGGTATTTAAGGCCTCGGGTACGAAAAATCCTCACCATTTAGCCATGGATCCCTCAGGACTATGTTCGAACGATTCTTTTGATCTTCCTTGTTCAGAGTGCTCAAAGTGCCAGCTGAAGGAAGAAGTTATAAACGAAATACTTCTTTCAGATTTTAAATTGGGCATAGCTAGTCGAGAAGGAGATGCAGGAAACCAAGAAGTGGATGTGGGACGTGCTGTGAAGGCAAGAAGTGGTGAGCAAGGCAAGACATAGGAGGCCCCTCTATGACAGAAGAGATAGTGCGTGCGCTCGAGGTGTAAAGGTGAGCGTGTAACTAACTATGAAGTGGAGAGCAAGGCAAGACATAGGAGGCCCGTCTACGACAGAAGAGATAGTGCGTGCGGTGCGTCGAGGTGTAAAGGTGAGCGTGTAACTAACTATGAAGTGGAGAGCAAGGCAAGACATAGGAGGCCCGTCTACGACAGAAGAGATAGTGCGTGCGGTGCGTCGAGGTGTAAAGGTGAGCGTGTAACTAACTATGAAGTGGAGAGCAAGGCAAGACATAGGAGGCCCGTCTACGACAGAAGAGATAGTGCGTGCGGTGCGTCGAGGTGTAAAGGTGAGCGTGTAACTAACTATGAAGTGGACAGCAAGGCAAGACATGGGAGGCCCGTCTACGACAGAAGAGATAGTGCGTGCGGTGCGTCGATGGTGTAAAGGTGAGCGTGTAACTAACTATGAAGTGGAGAGCAAGGCAAGACATAGGAGGCCCGTCTACGACAGAAGAGATAGTGCGTGCGGTGCGTCGTGGTGTAAAGGTGAGCGTGTAACTAACTATGAAGTGGAGAGCAAGGCAAGACATAGGAGGCCCGTCTACGACAGAAGAGATAGTGCGTGCGGTGCGTCGGGGTGTAAAGGTGAGCGTGTAACTAACTATAAAGTGGAGAGCAAGGCAAGACATAGGAGGCCCGTCTACGACAGAAGAGATAGTGCGTGCGGTGCGTCGTGGTGTAAAGGTGAGCGTGTAACTAACTATGAAGTGGAGAGCAAGGCAAGACATAGGAGGCCCGTCTACGACAGAAGAGATAGTGCGTGCGGTGCGTCGAGGTGTAAAGGTGAGCGTGTAACTAACTATGAAGTGGAGAGCAAGGCAAGACATAGGAGGCCCGTCTACGACAGAAGAGATAGTGCGTGCGGTGCGTCGTGGTGTAAAGGTGAGCGTGTAACTAACTATGAAGTGGAGAGCAAGGCAAGACATGGGAGGCCCGTCTACGACAGAAGAGATAGTGCGTGCGGTGCGTCGTGGTGTAAAGGTGAGCGTGTAACTAACTATGAAGTGGAGAGCAAGGCAAGACATGGGAGGCCCGTCTACGACAGAAGAGATAGTGCGTGCGGTGCGTCGTGGTGTAAAGGTGAGCGTGTAACTAACTATGAAGTGGAGAGCAAGGCAAGACATAGGAGGCCCGTCTACGACAGAAGAGATAGTGCGTGCTGTGCGTCGTGGTGTAAAGGTGAGCGTGTAACTAACTATGAAGTAGAGAGCAAGGCAAGACATAGGAGGCCAGTCTACGACAGAAGAGATAGTGCGTGAGGTGCGTCGAGGTGTAAAGGTGAGCGTGTAACTAACTATGAAGTGGACAGCAAGGCAAGACATGGGAGGCCCGTCTACGACAGAAGAGATAGTGCGTGCGGTGCGTCGTGGTGTAAAGGTGAGCGTGTAACTAACTATGAAGTGGAGAGCAAGGCAAGACATAGGAGGCCCGTCTACGACAGAAGAGATAGTGCGTGCGGTGCGTCGTGGTGTAAAGGTGAGCGTGTAACTAACTATGAAGTGGAGAGCAAGGCAAGACATAGGAGGCCCGTCTACGACAGAAGAGATAGTGCGTGCGGTGCGTCGAGGTGTAAAGGTGAGCGTGTAACTAACTATGAAGTGGAGAGCAAGGCAAGACATGGGAGGCCCGTCTACGACAGAAGAGATAGTGCGTGCGGTGCGTCGTGGTGTAAAGGTGAGCGTGTAACTAACTATGAAGTGGAGAGCAAGGCAAGACATAGGAGGCCCGTCTACGACAGAAGAGATAGTGCGTGCGGTGCGTCGTGTTGTAAAGGTGAGCGTGTAACTAACTATGAAGTGGAGAGCAAGGCAAGACATAGGAGGCCCGTCTACGACAGAAGAGATAGTGCGTGCTGTGCGTCGTGGTGTAAAGGTGAGCGTGTAACTAACTATGAAGTAGAGAGCAAGGCAAGACATAGGAGGCCAGTCTACGATAGGGCCAATGATAAGTATCAAATGATCAATCATCAGTTATCTTATTATTGATAATTATTATTGAATGTAATAATTGTGTTTACCTGAAACTGTAGGAAAGAGTGTTTTGAAACAAATTCTTTTTAATGTGTAATAATATAAATTTTTGTTTATTATTATTCTACTATACCAGAGAGAATATAAGAAATACTCTAATACTCTATATATAGTCTATTTGGTCTTATTAACAATTTTATCTTTTGCACTTACAAGCTTTTGCAGTGTAGCTGCCGATTTATTATTAATAGTAGGTTTGATTTAATATTTTTAGTGCAATTTCTCTATTGGATGTTGATAAATAATTGTATATACTATTAGATTTTCAATTATGTATATTAATTTATAATAAATGTATTGAATATTAAAAATTAATTCACTGATAAGACACCGAAACGTACCGTTATTCTTCTTATGTTAATTAATTAATTAAATATATTAGTCATATGTAAGATTATTTTCACCAAAGAATTTCTGAAAAAAAAAATATTTTAAATGCATATATTTAATAAATATGTTTAAGAATATATATTCCACAAGCCTCAGTGGTATATGTTCATGGGTTAATTAAAGATAGTTGTTTTTTTTGTTTTAATTATTTTAATACTACAACTAGAAAACCATTCTTTATAATATTCGGAGGATTGGGGATGTGAAAATAACTGATTGGTCCCTAGAATAAGTGGTAGGGGCTAGAGGGTATTTAAGGCCTCGGGTACGAAAAATCCTCACCATTTAGCCATGGATCCCTCAGGACTATGTTCGAACGATTCTTTTGATCTTCCTTGTTCAGAGTGCTCAAAGTGCCAGCTGAAGGAAGAAGTTATAAACGAAATACTTCTTTCAGATTTTAAATTGGGCATAGCTAGTCGAGAAGGAGATGCAGGAAACCAAGAAGTGGATGTGGGACGTGCTGTGAAGGCAAGAAGTGGTGAGCAAGCCAAGACATAGGAGGCCCCTCTATGACAGAAGAGATAGTGCGTGCGGTGCGTCGAGGTGTAAAGGTGAGCGTGTAACTAACTATGAAGTGGAGAGCAAGGCAAGACATAGGAGGCCCCTCTACGACAGAAGAGATAGTGCGTGCGGTGCGTCGAGGTGTAAAGGTGAGCGTGTAACTAACTATGAAGTGGAGAGCAAGGCAAGACATAGGAGGCCCGTCTACGACAGAAGAGATAGTGCGTGCGGTGCGTCGAGGTGTAAAGGTGAGCGTGTAACTAACTATGAAGTGGAGAGCAAGGCAAGACATAGGAGGCCCGTCTACGACAGAAGAGATAGTGCGTGCGGTGCGTCGAGGTGTAAAGGTGAGCGTGTAACTAACTATGAAGTGGAGAGCAAGGCAAGACATGGGAGGCCCGTCTACGACAGAAGAGATAGTGCGTGCGGTGCGTCGGGTGTAAAGGTGAGCGTGTAACTAACTATGAAGTGGAGAGCAAGGCAAGACATAGGAGGCCCGTCTACGACAGAAGAGATAGTGCGTGCGGTGCGTCGAGGTGTAATGGTGAGCGTGTAACTAACTATGAAGTGGAGAGCAAGGCAAGACATAGGAGGCCCGTCTACGACAGAAGAGATAGTGCGTGCGGTGCGTCGAGGTGTAAAGGTGAGCGTGTAACTAACTATGAAGTGGAGAGCAAGGCAAGACATAGGAGGCCCGTCTACGACAGAAGAGATAGTGCGTGCGGTGCGTCGGGTGTAATGGTGAGCGTGTAACTAACTATGAAGTGGAGAGCAAGGCAAGACATAGGAGGCCCGTCTACGACAGAAGAGATAGTGCGTGCGGTGCGTCGAGGTGTAAAGGTGAGCGTGTAACTAACTATGAAGTGGAGAGCAAGGCAAGACATGGGAGGCCCGTCTACGACAGAAGAGATAGTGCGTGCGGTGCGTCGAGGTGTAATGGTGAGCGTGTAACTAACTATGAAGTGGAGAGCAAGGCAAGACATAGGAGGCCCGTCTACGACAGAAGAGATAGTGCGTGCGGTGCGTCGAGGTGTAATGGTGAGCGTGTAACTAACTATGAAGTGGAGAGCAAGGCAAGACATAGGAGGCCCGTCTACGACAGAAGAGATAGTGCGTGCGGTGCGTCGAGGTGTAATGGTGAGCGTGTAACTAACTATGAAGTGGAGAGCAAGGCAAGACATAGGAGGCCCGTCTACGACAGAAGAGATAGTGCGTGCGGTGCGTCGGGTGTAATGGTGAGCGTGTAACTAACTATGAAGTGGAGAGCAAGGCAAGACATAGGAGGCCCGTCTACGACAGAAGAGATAGTGCGTGCGGTGCGTCGAGGTGTAATGGTGAGCGTGTAACTAACTATGAAGTGGAGAGCAAGGCAAGACATAGGAGGCCCGTCTACGACAGAAGAGATAGTGCGTGCGGTGCGTCGGGTGTAAAGGTGAGCGTGTAACTAACTATGAAGTGGAGAGCAAGGCAAGACATAGGAGGCCCGTCTACGACAGAAGAGATAGTGCGTGCGGTGCGTCGGGTGTAATGGTGAGCGTGTAACTAACTATGAAGTGGAGAGCAAGGCAAGACATAGGAGGCCCGTCTACGACAGAAGAGATAGTGCGTGCGGTGCGTCGAGGTGTAATGGTGAGCGTGTAACTAACTATGAAGTGGAGAGCAAGGCAAGACATAGGAGGCCCGTCTACGACAGAAGAGATAGTGCGTGCGGTGCGTCGGGTGTAATGGTGAGCGTGTAACTAACTATGAAGTGGAGAGCAAGGCAAGACATAGGAGGCCCGTCTACGACAGAAGAGATAGTGCGTGCGGTGCGTCGGGTGTAATGGTGAGCGTGTAACTAACTATGAAGTGGAGAGCAAGGCAAGACATAGGAGGCCCGTCTACGACAGAAGAGATAGTGCGTGCGGTGCGTCGAGGTGTAATGGTGAGCGTGTAACTAACTATGAAGTGGAGAGCAAGGCAAGACATGGGAGGCCCGTCTACGACAGAAGAGATAGTGCGTGCGGTGCGTCGTGGTGTAATGGTGAGCGTGTAACTAACTATGAAGTGGAGAGCAAGGCAAGACATAGGAGGCCCGTCTACGACAGAAGAGATAGTGCGTGCGGTGCGTCGTGGTGTAATGGTGAGCGTGTAACTAACTATGAAGTGGAGAGCAAGGCAAGACATAGGAGGCCCGTCTACGACAGAAGAGATAGTGCGTGCGGTGCGTCGAGGTGTAATGGTGAGCGTGTAACTAACTATGAAGTGGAGAGCAAGGCAAGACATGGGAGGCCCGTCTACGAAAGAAGAGATAGTGCGTGCGGTGCGTCGAGGTGTAATGGTGAGCGTGTAACTAACTATGAAGTGGAGAGCAAGGCAAGACATAGGAGGCCCGTCTACGACAGAAGAGATAGTGCGTGAGGTGCGTCGAGGTGTAATGGTGAGCGTGTAACTAACTATGAAGTGGAGAGCAAGGCAAGACATAGGAGGCCCGTCTACGACAGAAGAGATAGTGCGTGCGGTGCGTCGTGGTGTAATGGTGAGCGTGTAACTAACTATGAAGTGGAGAGCAAGGCAAGACATAGGAGGCCCGTCTACGACAGAAGAGATAGTGCGTGCGGTGCGTCGTGGTGTAAAGGTGAGCGTGTAACTAACTATGAAGTGGAGAGCAAGGCAAGACATAGGAGGCCCGTCTACGACAGAAGAGATAGTGCGTGCGGTGCGTCGAGGTGTAATGGTGAGCGTGTAACTAACTATGAAGTGGAGAGCAAGGCAAGACATAGGAGGCCCGTCTACGACAGAAGAGATAGTGCGTGCGGTGCGTCGAGGTGTAAAGGTGAGCGTGTAACTAACTATGAAGTGGAGAGCAAGGCAAGACATAGGAGGCCCGTCTACGACAGAAGAGATAGTGCGTGCGGTGCGTCGAGGTGTAATGGTGAGCGTGTAACTAACTATGAAGTGGAGAGCAAGGCAAGACATGGGAGGCTGGAGTAGCGCATCGTTGAATGGCGCAGCATGGAGACCTAACAATACTGCAGTCATGGAGTCAGCAATATGGAGCGGAAACCAGCACTTTGAATACGAGGCAGATTTGGATGCGTCTATAGAGGTTGCAACAAACGATGAACTCTTTAAGAAACCACCTGAACCAATACAGTGTATGTCCTGCAAAACAATTCACAAGACGTATTTAAAGGAATATATAACAGACCAAGAAATCTTTTACCATAAATGCTCAGAGTGCCAGCTGAAGGAAGAAGTTATTAACGAAATACTTCTTTCAGATTTTAAATTGGGCATAGCTAGACTCGAGAAAGAGATGCAGGAAACCAAGAAGTGGATGTGGGACGTGCTGTTCAAGGCATGACACAGTAGGTCCCTCTACGACAGAAGAGATAGTGCCTGCGCTGCGTCGTGGAGTAAAAGTGAGGGCGTGACTAACTATAAAGTGCAGTGCCACATTTGCTCGAGGCAGTTCCACACCTACTGCCTCGGCCTCACAACTTATGATTTCCAAATTTTAAGATGCAACGATTGCATGGAAGACCCATCATCGAGTTCTTCGAAACCGAAAGTGCGCGCATTTCCTTAGTCCAGTACTTCAGACCAAGCCTCATCCGTCGATGTGAACGGAAGAAAGACCAACAGCTCGAGTTTTCCCAACATCACCAGATATGACTGCCTTTGAGAAGCTCTAGTATGTGAAGGTGTCGGTACCCAAATATATACGATGAAGTGTAGTATTTGCTCGAAGGAAGTATACATTCGCTGCCTTAATGTTCCTAAACTTAACACAAGATATTTCCGATGCCTTCAATGCAGACCTGAGCGGGGGGAATTTAGATATTTTTGGATTGATGGTAGTTACAAACTTGAATATTGCCCCCCTTTCCGACCGATAGAAATGTACTCATGATAATCTTTTATTTTCTTGAAATCTTGTAATTAAAAATGTTTTGTGAATTAAAAAAAAGTGAAAATAAATTAATATATTTTTATTATGATTCAGTGTTTATCATATACCTGTAAATATGTAAAAATTTACACACTTTATTATTTTGTTTCTTATATTTATATATTTGTTTTTTATTAAATCTTTCCATTGAAAACTACTGCTGTTTAATTTTAAAAAATTTAAAAAAAAAATCAAATTTTATTTTAATATTTGACATTTTGTTTCTTTATAAATTTGTGTTGAATGCAATGTAAAATTATTGATCCAATTTTATTGAGAATGTACACCAACAGTTGTAAAAAGCATTTCTTTCTTATTAATAAAATTCTATCAAATAAATATCGAGGTGTACATTTAATTTTATAAATCCTGAAAATCCTTTCATTTATTAATAAATATGTACCTAGAACATCTTTCATGATGAATAACTGACTGATATATGGTACTCATGTTTAGTGGTTGAGAAGTGATACAGTGATGGCTGTGATAAAGAACTTATTTTATTATATTGTATGATTAATATGGGATCACTTCTAAGTTATCTGATCACTAGCACATCTCTTTTCCGATAAGTTTTTATGGTTTTCTTAATATCAGTAACAGATTACAGCTGTGGAACCGAAAACAACTAGCGATGCTAAATATTGATCTAATCTCATTCAAAATGTTTATCAAAAATTCTAAAAAAACTTATATTTAAAAGAAAAACTGTCTATAAAATAAGTATTGAGGTCATTTATTATTTTCACGTACCATGAAAAACCTATTATATTTTACATAAACTATGCTGTATATTTTATCTAATTTAAATTCATAGGGACTTCTTATTATTTGCAAATAAGACATATAAAATGATTATTTGAGGTAGTGATTGGTATTTTTATTTATTAAACCAACCTAATACACCTTTCATGTAGAGTAATTGATAGAAACTTATCAATGGTGAAGAAGTGATACCATGATAACTTAGAAAGAGCACATTGGTTTAGTGAGACTTCTTATCTGTAGGTGAGGTCAATATGTTTGAAGAATAGAGTATCATGATATCGTCGGCACCATGTTAGAGTAATTAATATGCAACGTTAAACTGGCTCACATTCAATACTTTAATATAGTGCCAATGATAAGTATTACCTGATCAATCATTAGTTATCTTATTATTGATAATTATTATTGAATGTAATAATTGTGTTTACCTGAAACTGTAGGAAAGAGTGTTTTGAAACAAATTTATTATTTTAATGTGTAATAATATAAATTTTTGTTTATTATTATTCTACTATACCAGAGAGAATATAAGAAATACTCTAATACTCTATATATAGTCTATTTGGTCTTATTAACAATTTTATGTTTTGCACTTACAAGCTTTTGCAGTGTAGCTGCCGATTTATTATTAATAGTAGGTTTGATTTAATATTTTTAGTGCAATTTCTCTATTGGATGTTGATAAATAATTGTATATACTATTAGATTTTCAATTATGTATATTAATTTATAATAAATGTATTGAATATTAAAAATTAATTCACTGATAAGACACCGAAACGTACCGTTATTCTTCTTATGTTAATTAATTAATTAAATATATTAGTCATATGTAAGATTATTTTCAACAAAGAATTTCTGAAAAAAAAAAATTTTAAATGCATATATTTAATAAATATGTTTAAGAATATATATTCCACAAGCCTCAGTGGTATATGTTCATGGGTTAATTAAAGATAGTACTTTTTTTTGTTTTAATTATTTTAATACTACAACTAGAAAACCATTCTTTATAATATTCGGAGGATTGGGGATGTGAAAATATCTGATTGGTCCCTAGAATAAGTGGTAGGGGCTAGAGGGTATTTAAGGCCTCGGGTACGAAAAATCCTCACCATTTAGCCATGGATCCCTCAGGACTATGTTCGAACGATTCTTTTGATCTTCCTTGTTCAGAGTGCTCAAAGTGCCAGCTGAAGGAAGAAGTTATAAACGAAATACTTCTTTCAGATTTTAAATTGGGCATAGCTAGTCGAGAAGGAGATGCAGGAAACCAAGAAGTGGATGTGGGACGTGCTGTGAAGGCAAGAAGTGGTGAGCAAGCCAAAACATAGGAGGTCCCTCTATGACAGAAGAGATAGTGCGTGCGCTCGAGGTGTAAAGGTGAGCGTGTAACTAACTATGAAGTGGAGAGCAAGGCAAGACATAGGAGGCCCGTCTACGACAGAAGAGATAGTGCGTGCGGTGCGTCGTGGTGTAAAGGTGAGCGTGTAACTAACTATGAAGTGGAGAGCAAGGCAAGACATAGGAGGCCCGTCTACGACAGAAGAGATAGTGCGTGCGGTGCGTCGTGGTGTAAAGGTGAGCGTGTAACTAACTATGAAGTGGAGAGCAAGGCAAGACATAGGAGGCCCGTCTACGACAGAAGAGATAGTGCGTGCGGTGCGTCGTGGTGTAAAGGTGAGCGTGTAACTAACTATGAAGTGGACAGCAAGGCAAGACATGGGAGGCCCGTCTACGACAGAAGAGATAGTGCGTGCGGTGCGTCATGGTGTAAAGGTGAGCGTGTAACTAACTATGAAGTGGAGAGCAAGGCAAGACATAGGAGGCCCGTCTACGACAGAAGAGATAGTGCGTGCGGTGCGTCGTGGTGTAAAGGTGAGCGTGTAACTAACTATGAAGTGGAGAGCAAGGCAAGACATAGGAGGCCCGTCTACGACAGAAGAGATAGTGCGTGCGGTGCGTCGTGGTGTAAAGGTGAGCGTGTAACTAACTATGAAGTGGAGAGCAAGGCAAGACATAGGAGGCCCGTCTACGACAGAAGAGATAGTGCGTGCGGTGCGTCGTGGTGTAAAGGTGAGCGTGTAACTAACTATGAAGTGGAGAGCAAGGCAAGACATAGGAGGCCCGTCTACGACAGAAGAGATAGTGCGTGCGGTGCGTCGTGGTGTAAAGGTGAGCGTGTAACTAACTATGAAGTGGAGAGCAAGGCAAGACATAGGAGGCCCGTCTACGACAGAAGAGATAGTGCGTGCGGTGCGTCGATGGTGTAAAGGTGAGCGTGTAACTAACTATGAAGTGGAGAGCAAGGCAAGACATGGGAGGCCCGTCTACGACAGAAGAGATAGTGCGTGCGGTGCGTCGTGGTGTAAAGGTGAGCGTGTAACTAACTATGAAGTGGAGAGCAAGGCAAGACATAGGAGGCCCGTCTACGACAGAAGAGATAGTGCGTGCGGTGCGTCGTGGTGTAAAGGTGAGCGTGTAACTAACTATGAAGTGGAGAGCAAGGCAAGACATGGGAGGCCCGTCTACGACAGAAGAGATAGTGCGTGCGGTGCGTCGATGGTGTAAAGGTGAGCGTGTAACTAACTATGAAGTGGAGAGCAAGGCAAGACATAGGAGGCCCGTCTACGACAGAAGAGATAGTGCGTGCGGTGCGTCGTGGTGTAAAGGTGAGCGTGTAACTAACTATGAAGTGGAGAGCAAGGCAAGACATAGGAGGCCCGTCTACGACAGAAGAGATAGTGCGTGCGGTGCGTCGTGGTGTAAAGGTGAGCGTGTAACTAACTATGAAGTGGAGAGCAAGGCAAGACATGGGAGGCCCGTCTACGACAGAAGAGATAGTGCGTGCGGTGCGTCGTGGTGTAAAGGTGAGCGTGTAACTAACTATGAAGTGGAGAGCAAGGCAAGACATAGGAGGCCCGTCTACGACAGAAGAGATAGTGCGTGCGGTGCGTCGATGGTGTAAAGGTGAGCGTGTAACTAACTATGAAGTGGAGAGCAAGGCAAGACATAGGAGGCCCGTCTACGACAGAAGAGATAGTGCGTGCGGTGCGTCGTGGTGTAAAGGTGAGCGTGTAACTAACTATGAAGTGGAGAGCAAGGCAAGACATGGGAGGCCCGTCTACGACAGAAGAGATAGTGCGTGCGGTGCGTCGTGGTGTAAAGGTGAGCGTGTAACTAACTATGAAGTGGAGAGCAAGGCAAGACATAGGAGGCCCGTCTACGACAGAAGAGATAGTGCGTGCGGTGCGTCGAGGTGTAAAGGTGAGCGTGTAACTAACTATGAAGTGGAGAGCAAGGCAAGACATAGGAGGCCCGTCTACGACAGAAGAGATAGTGCGTGCGGTGCGTCGAGGTGTAATGGTGAGCGTGTAACTAACTATGAAGTGGAGAGCAAGGCAAGACATGGGAGGCTGGAGTAGCGCATCGTTGAATGGCGCAGCATGGAGACCTAACAATACTGCAGTCATGGAGTCAGCAATATGGAGCGGAAACCAGCACTTTGAATACGAGGCAGATTTGGATGCGTCTATAGAGGTTGCAACAAACGATGAACTCTTTAAGAAACCACCTGAACCAATACAGTGTATGTCCTGCAAAACAATTCACAAGACGTATTTAAAGGAATATATAACAGACCAAGAAATCTTTTACCATAAATGCTCAGAGTGCCAGCTGAAGGAAGAAGTTATTAACGAAATACTTCTTTCAGATTTTAAATTGGCATAGCTAGACTCGAGAAAGAGATGCAGGAAACCAAGAAGTGGATGTGGGACGTGCTGTTCAAGGCATGACACAGTAGGTCCCTCTACGACAGAAGAGATAGTGCCTGCGCTGCGTCGTGGAGTAAAAGTGAGGGCGTGACTAACTATAAAGTGCAGTGCCACATTTGCTCGAGGCAGTTCCACACCTACTGCCTCGGCCTCACAACTTATGATTTCCAAATTTTAAGATGCAACGATTGCATGGAAGACCCATCATCGAGTTCTTCGAAACCGAAAGTGCGCGCATTTCCTCAGTCCAGTACTTCAGACCAAGC